TAGTGTAATGAGCAGAAAGGGAAATTTTCAGCAGCAAGGCTGAACAAGAATGAGCTGGTTCAACACTCTGGAAGGGAAACATCCATCCTTCTTGCCTTCCTGTTGCCAGAGACTAGTTCTTGGAGTGCCAGGAACTGATCAGGAGTTCTGGGCACAACAGTGCTGATTATTTCTTCCTAGTTTTTTGGAAAGGTGAAACATAACCCAAACAGGTCTCCCTTGCCCAGAGGGAAAGAACAGAACACTGGTCTATAGCTACAAGGAAAAGACTATAGTGATGGAAGATGCCTGAGGAGAAGACACTGGGTTCTCACACAGCATCCTCTGTATTCCCAACTCTTATTCTGAATAAACAACTTTTTTATTGTGTCTTACTCAGGCTCCAGGGCAGAGGGAATACAGATGAGTTAGCTGTGGAGGACTCTGCAGGGAAAGGGTGGTGAAGAAGCCTATGCAGGGGTGGTTTGACAAGTCCAAGGGGGGTCTGGGTGAGAACAAGCAGGAATAGAAGAAAACTAATCAGGATGCCCAGGGTTTTTCATAACAGACTGCTATGACTGCACAATTTGAAAGTGCTTTTTGGTAGTTGACATCAAAGACAGACCATTCCATCTTGCAAAGGGTGCAGAGGCAGACGGCAGTTATTTTAACTCTAAGTTCCAGAGAATCCTTTAGAAAAGTTCTGAACTGAAAAGCCCAGGGAATTCAAATTTTTATTATTCTTTTGTGTGTGTGTGTGTGTGTGTGTACCGTCAAATCGGATCTGACTGGTAGAGGAGGAGACTGTCCCTCCTTTTCCAGCAGAGCATCTGGTGAACTCAAACTGTGTACTTCTGGGATTGTGGTGCAGCTTCTTGCCACTAGGAAACCAGAGCTTCCTCCCAGGGAGCTCAACTTAAACTGAGAGGAGTGCATTATAAAGATAGGGAGTTTAACAGAAAGAAAGGAAAAGTGGCACCAGAGTATTAAATAAAAGAAAGGAGAAGTAAATTAAAAGTAGATAGATTTAAGCAGAACCTCCCTCTATTGCTTGGGGAATGCCAGGCAGTGCAGACAAAAGACAAGGGTAAGATGTCCCTGAATTCAGAGGCTACACAGGCTTCCCTAGAGGGAAGTTAGGTCCATCTTGGCGCACCCGTATAAATCCCAGGCCAGGTCACTTCACAAGTGAGGCAAGTCTCCATTTGCTGTACAACGTGACTGCAGATCTGCAGGTTAGGACCCAGACTCTGTAGCTTGGAGTTTCCTTGCCATGGAGATGCACAGACCAGCTACTGAAGGGAGAAGCCCATTACATGCAAAACACACACTCAACCAAGCACTCAGAGGTTATTACTTTACCTCCCAATAAATCCATAGAGACAAACAGACAACACAGACCAGAAACCTGGGTAACCAGACCAGAAAACAGAGACTAACTAGCTGTGGTCAGTTAGCGTCCGAACTTACTTGACCATTACAGGAACCAGAATTAGAGAGTCACACTCACCAGAGATGTTCTTGATGATGGTTTGTTGATTTCAAGAAAAGAGCACTGGCAGTCATCTCAGTCCCCCTCACTAGAGTCGTGATAAAAAAAGGGGATCCTGGAAAGTCATAGTTGGCACCATTTCCCATTTCTTCTCCAGAAACTGTGGCTGGGACTGAGGGAGCCCTGGTCACTTAGTGCAGAAAACTTAAAAAATCTTGCTGGGGCCTCCAAATATTAGAAAATGTGAGATTTAAACAATCAGCCAAGACTGGAGATTAATAAACCTTTTCTTACACACAGGGTCAAGAACATCAACTATTGCCCAAACCATTCCGACCCAGAAGGGAAGCAAAGATTGGATTTACATACAGAGATGGGGCATGGGGGTTGCATGAAGTTCACTGAGGTTGGCAGTTGAGATTTCTTCCCATTCAGGAGTCGTTATTGTTTGATTTCTCATGGGTGTCCAGGCCCCGGGCCAGGTACAGGATGTAGTCAGGGAGGGTGGGAACCAAGCTGGATCAGCACGTACTGGGAAACATCAACCTTAACAGCGCATATTATTGCCAAAATTATTGAAGCACACATTTCTTAAAATAGCTGCCAGGACAAAATGGCTTCTCTGATGCTAACATATAAAATGGCTAATGTTTAGCATTTAAACTGCTACTACAGAGACAGGTACAAATTTTGGTGGAAGCAGCAAATATTCAAATGAGAACTTTGAAGGCCTAAATGGAGGATTCCACGTGAACAAGAAAATTTAAAATAACAAAAAAATTAATTTTCAAAACGTCAGTGCTTCTTAGCAGAAAAATTAAGGCGTGTACAGCAACACAATCTTTTAGAATAGCAGGAACGAAGCAGAACCGTCTGTAGATTTTTGTCTTCCTGAGTTTGAAAAGGGGATACTAACCACTTCATGTGATGGACTGCTTTCTTTCATCATTCATGCAAAGGTGAGAGCTCATGGCTTTCTCACAGGCTGCTCTAAGTGAATGGAAAAAACTGGAAGCCATTCTGAGGTGCTGGCATGGAAACTCCCTATTTTCTGGTCAAATAGAAACAAGGTCAAATTCTCACGGTTCTTTAACTGCTCAAACAGGCAATGTTGTATATGTCACTAGCAAGAGCAGTGACATTTCAGAGAGCTAAGATTCAGCAGGAATGCCTCGTTCTGTATCTCAGATGCTTCCCATCATTCACAAGCACAGTTGTAATGCTTACTATTTCTCACTACTTAGAAATCTGCCTCAGGGAGCTCTGGCGGCCTAGTGGCAAGAAACCGCACTGCAATCCCAAAGGTACGCCATTCAAATACACCAGATGCTCTGCTGGAGAAGGAGTGGCAGTCTCCTCCTGTACCAGTCAGATCCAATTTGACAGTACACACAAAATAATAAAATAAATTAAAAAAAAAATCTGCCTCATAAACAATGAGTGTGTTGTCCTTTTCTGACAGGATTCCACCCTATACAGGCTTCAGATTTCACAGACCTTATTACATAAGACATTTGGAAAGGGGACAATGCTCTAATGTTTACTGTTGTGCCATGCCACATCTTGGGGTATTTTCTTGCCAATGTATCCAAAATTATTCAGGACTTTTGTAAACTGTGAAGGCAGTATTAAATGGACAATCACATACAGTGGGCAATTAAATACAACGAACATATTTATCAACATTTCCTTTCTTCTTTAACATATACACCTTTAAAATAGTTAAATACAATTCTCTGTTCCAAAGTCTTTAATTCACAATAAGTTTTGGTTAATCCAAATCCATGTTTTGATTGTATAAAAACCTGGAACTTGAACAATTGATATTTCAACAAGAACCACTACTATTTAAATATAGGGAGCTCTGGCGGCCTAGTGGTAAGAAGCTGTGCTGCAATCCCGAAGATGAACGGTTCGAATCCACCATATGTTCTGCTGGAGGAGGAGGAGCAATCTCCTCCTTTACCAGTCAGGTCCAATTTGATGGCATGCAACAAGAAAGAAAAAAAATAAAACAAAAAACCCCAAACACTACTATTTAAATAATTTCAAGTACAAATATTAATATCCTTTCTTAGTGCTTCTTACAAAATCTGTTGCAGATATGCCAAGTTCACTTCATAATCTCAGTTACACTACATATATGTACTAATTGTAGACCTTTTGTTAAAGTTGAGTCCTTTATTAATTTTTTTCCTCAAACATTACTTTGGATTTTTCTTTCCTAAGTTTTCTGATATGAAATCCATATAAAGTTCAGTTCTTTTGGACTTTTCCAGATTTTTTCCCATATGATGAAAACATTAACACTATGGATGGAGAGATCACCAAAACCTGTATTTGAGCACTGACGGTGTTCTTTACAGCATGCTTCTTCAGTGTTCTAAGCCACGTCTCATGATTTTTTATTAAAAATGTTACCATAAGTTTCTTGTCCTGCTATTAAAAACTTGTAACTCTTCCTGTTTTAGTGGCATTTTGGTTTCTTAAAGAAACTGGAACAAAATACCATAAAATGGGTGGCTTTAAACAGAAAAACATTCCTATAACTGTGGGGGCTAGAACTCCATATTTAGAGCTTTAGAAAAACTATGCTGTGTGTAAAAAAATTTCCCTGTCTCTTCCAACTTCTAGTGTTTTGAAGCAGTGTTCTATGGTTCTTTGCATAGCATGTTTTCCTTCAGTGAACTGTTTGTTCTTTTTTTTTATATCACTTAGAAGTGATTACGGCACACTCTCTAATCCTGTCTGTTTGCTCTATTGGGGCAGCTTGCATGTTTCCATGATGCTCACACTGGTATTTCAATTCCTAGCAGGGTTACCCATGGTGAACTGATTTCAGTGGAGCTTCTAGACTAAGAGAGACTAAGAAGCAGGACAGGTCATCCAATGGGCCCTCAAAAACCTACGAATAACCTATGCTGATGTGACTTCATTAACTGACAAAAAAGGGAAAACTTCATTTTCAAATGACGTCATATTTGCAAGTACAGAAATGAGGATTTCAACTTGCCTTCTTTAGAAGACATAATTCAAATCCACCATCTGCTCCACAAGAGAAAGATGTACCATCTCCCCCTGTGCAATTTATAGTGTCAGAAAACCCACTGGAGGGTCAGCTAGGAGTTGATTCCGACACAATGGCACATAGTATCAATACTGACTGAAGGTTTGCCAAACATGTGGCATGCACATTGATTCAGTCAGGACAATTTTTCTGAGGTTGAATAAATAAGGATTACTAAACACTTTTCACAGCTAGGTGTTGATTCTGACTAGATGGCAGAAAATTTTTTCTAACACACTGATTACATACATAGTGTTCCTTCAAAGTGTGATTCTCCTTGGGTGCCTGAATTTAACAATTAAAGCAGAAGTCTCTTTAATAATTATTACAAAATAGTTTGACTGCTTACATTTTCCCCCAAAGTTACAAAAATGCATGAAGGCTTGCCACATATGTGGTACTCATACGCTTCTTTATCATGTTTTCACACAATTTCTAATGTCCGAACACTACCTAAACACTTTACACATAGTTGACAAACATGGTTTCTCTTAAGTGTGAATTCTCATGTAGCTTCATATTAGAACTCCTGGTGAAGGCTTTCCCACACACATGACATTTGTATGGTTTCTCTCCAGTGTGAATTCTTTCATGGAGTCTCAGGTTAGAACTTCTGCTGAAGTTTTTCCTACACACGTTACACTGAAACGGCTTCTCACCAGTGTGGGTTTTCTCGTGATCTCTAAGTTCAGAACACTGACTGAAAGCTTTCCCACACAGCTGACATCCATATGGCTTCTCTCCAGAGTGACTTCTCTCATGACGTCTCAAGTTAGAACAATTCATGAAGGCTTTCCCACACAGATGGCACTCGTAGGGTTTCTCTCCAGTGTGCGTTCTATTGTGTTGTGTGAGGCAAGACTTCTGAATAAAGACCTTCCCACATATACTACATTTATATGGTTTCTCCCCGGTGTGTGTTTTCTCATGACTTCTAAGCTCATAAGCCTGACTAAAACCTTTCCCACAGAGTTCACAAATATATGGCTTCTTGCCAGTGTGGATCCGCTCATGTTTCCGAAGATTCGACTTTGTACTGAAGGTTTTCCCACATAAATGGCAATCATACGGCTTCTCTCCTGTGTGAGTTCTCGTGTGTTGTGTGAGGCAAGACTTCTGAATAAAAGCTTTCCCACATATACGACATTCATATGGCTTCTCTCCAGTGTGTATCTTCTCATGGCTTCTAAGTTCATAGCACTGACTAAATGCTTTCCCACACAGCTGACAAGCATATGGCTTTTCCCCACTGTGAATCCTTTCATGCTTTTTAAGGCTAGATATGGTACTGAAGGTTTTCTCACACAAACAGCAATCATATGGTTTCTCTCCTGTGTGAGTTCTAATGTGCTGTATAAGGTCAGAGCTTTGAATAAAGGCTTTTCCACACAAATGGCACTTATATGGTTTACTTCTCGTGTGATTCTGTGAACGCTGATTTAAGAATGACTGGTCACTAAGGGGTTTTCCAAATTCTTTGCCAACTTCTTGTTTCTCTCCTATGTGACTTAACACATGTTGAGTCAATGTGGTGATGTCAGTAAAACCTTGTCCCTTATTGTTACATTCAAAGGGATTTGCTTCAGTAGGAGATTTCTGCTTTGGGAAGTAAGTGAAAAAATGTTAGACGGTCATCCACATATCCATACAGAACTCTACATATCAATTATTCACTGAGAATTGGCACTTACAAACTTTCAAATGTTACTTACATATTATAAAAATAAAATTTATGAAGAATAGACTTAAGAGCTGACCAGCCAGCCAGTCATCAGAGGCTGTAAATCACACAGAAAGTGACTGTCAGTTCTCCCACAGAATAGCTGGTGGACTGGAACCACTAGAGAGGTGCCGCCTTTGAGTCAGCAGTACAATTCCCTATGGGCTACACCACAACGCCCTTTTTAAAATGTTACTTTTATAGTGTGATACTCTTCCGAATTCCCAAAATTTTTCTTTTTTGCAGCATCTTAACTGCAGAGTTATCTAATTAACTCTAAAGAATTCATTATATGGAGTTTGCTTTTCAACATGGGGTTATTTTCCTGGGATTATTGAAAGTGGATTACTGACCCATGTGGATGGACAGGACTATGCAAATGGGGTGTGTTGGCTTTTCCACAAAGGGACTGACTACCATTCTACAAGGGGATTGGCCAGTCTCAACAATCTACAAGAGGATTGGCTACTCTCATCAATAAATTGAACAGCTCTGGCCACAAAGAAGGAAATCCTCTCCAGTAAGAGAAGAGTAAAGAGACCCTTCCAACACCAGTGAAGAGGAGCCAGGAAAATGTAAGACATGCTGCATTCAGGATGGCAGCAGCAGCCATATTTGAACAGGAGAAATGACATAAAATGGGACTTTAAGGAGGAGGGTAAGCCAATATTGGCAAGACTGAGAACTCTGTTGGACAACTGAGGAGGGAAGCCAATACTTGCAGGATGAGAACTTGAGAATGCTTAGAACCAAGAGGATCAAGGCTGAGGTGCCTGCATGCACATTTCCATGCACAATTCTGGAACTGTTCTGGAGTTGTATTCAGTTCTTAATGTGGATTATATAAACTTTGCCTTTCTAAATATGGTTCTGAGTAGTCTAAGAGCTACCATATCAGATTTTGGACCCAGTAAAGCAATAAAATTGGTGTTGAGATACGTAGAAAGAGGTACAGGAGTGTGGGGGACATGTCTGATCTCATGAGAATTGGTTTTGTGTTACTGCTGCAATGCTGTGGAGGGGGAGAGTTCCTTGCTGTAAAGTCAGATATGGTGCTCCTCATGTAGTCCTTGCTCTTCTTACACATTTATTTCAAATATATATATTTATTTATGTAGTTCTGAACCATAATGAAAAATATATATTACACACTTATGAAACAATGAATACATGTTAACAATCAACTGCCATGTCATGCTAACTCAGGTTACAATTAGCACAGACTAATTTCTCTCCATAAATAAAAAACAGAAAGCCAAGTACCAGCAATCCTCCCTAAGTTTAATTAGAGTACAGCAAATCCACTGACTCCTGGACAGCCACAATTCAGATGAGAAACTTACCACTACCATGATGGGGGGTATGTCTTTATTGCAGGATATCATGGCTTCTCTCTTACGTACACTTTGTCTGACTGAAATAAGAAAAAAAGGGGTAAATTTTAGAGCAGCATTAAAGCAATTAAACGTTGAAAAGAATTATGCAACAATGAACAAAATTTATTTTTTAAAAGTGAACTGGGGAAGGGGAAAGAGGAAGAGGAGTGAAAATGTGTAACAATCAATGAGTGAAAAATCTAACTTCTGTAAACTTACATTAAAATCATGATTAAAAGAAAAAATTTCTCTAAAAAAAAGAATCAATGCTTATGTAAATATATTTGAATTATTGATCCTTAGATGGAAAAACAATGTCAATCTTTATCTTCATTTTTCAGGTGTGTCTCTTGTAGGTAGAATATTGATGGCTTTGGGGGGTTTGTCCAATACACTACTATTTTTCTCTTCATTGGTGCATTTAAACCATTTACACTCATTGTGATTATTGAGAGGCAAGGTTTTGTTGCTATCATTTTGTTGAGTTCTTTTTGGTGTTATTGCTAGTGACTTTGGTCCATCCTGCTTTCTGTGGCACCTCTGTAAGAAGGACATCCCTCAATGTTTCTTGCAACATGCAGAAACGAATGGATAGAGAAGCTGTGGTATATTCACACAAAGGAATACTAACTATGCTGCACTGAAAAACAAAGAACTCATGAAATATACAAAATGGGTGACCCTAGAGGACATTATGCTGAGCAAAATATCTCAGTCACAAAAGGAAAATACTGCATAATGCCACTTTTGCAAAATGGGACTGACATTGGGGTTGTGGGGAGCCTAAGAAAAGAGGGGATAAATAATGTAGACTACATTGAAACAGATGAGGGAGAGAACTGTTTAAAAGGAATACAGGATTAGCTATTATTTTCATGACAAGATTCTAGAAAAAGAAATGCACAGTAAAGTGGTCTGTGGACTTTGGGGGGGAAGGAACTGTATAACAATGAAAGATTATTAATTTTTTTTCCCCTATTCAAAGAGAAAAACGAACCGGGGGGGAGGTGTGGGCAGGGAGGGAAATGTGCGACAATGAATGGGGAAAAAATTAAATTGAAAGAATATGCTGTAAATGTGTGTGTGTGTGTGTGTGTGTGTGTGTGTGTGTGTTTTAAAAAATCAATAAAAAAACCCATCCCTTTAAAAAAAAAACAATGTCAAATTAAAGAAGCGTTGTAAACTGCCATCAAGTCACATACAATTCACAGCAACCCTATGAACAACCCTGCCCTAGTCTGAACCAGCCTCACCATCACTGATATGTACAGGCCATTGTTAAAGTCATTGTGTCAATCCATCTCCTGGAGGCCTTCCTCTCTCTAACCCCTACTCTTCCCAGCATGATGTCCTTTTCCAAGGATCAGGACCTTCTAACAACATGCCCAAAGTATTTGAGACAAAGTGAGATGAACCTGTGCCATCCTTGTCTTCAAGGAGCATTCTAGTTACACTCTCTCCAAAACATTCTTATTTGTTTTCCCGGCATTCCATAGATATTCAGCACTATTCTGCAATACCACAACTCATATATCAATTCTTGTTCTGTCATCCTTAATGACTGTCTACCTAGAAATGCACTGCAAGTAACTGAAAAGACCATGGCTTGAGTTGGGTGCACCTTAGTCCTTCAACTTAAATCCTTGCTCTTCAGCATTCTAAAGAAGTCCTTGAGAGTAGATTTTCCTAATGCCACATGTCTTATGATTTTTGACTGCTGTTACATTGGGTACTAATAAGGGATCCAAGTAAAATGAAATCGTTGACAACTTCAATCTTTTCTCCATATATTACAATGTTGCCTACTGGTCCAGTGGTGAGGTTTTACTTTTCTTGATGTTGAGATACCAGGTGGAAATAAACCAGTTTATGTGAGTATATTTAAAATACCAACCCTTCGATAGAAGAACAATGTCAAATTAAAGAATAAATACATTTCCATTTTCAGGATTGCAGTATGACAAAATCAAAATGAACATAAGAGAAATACAAAAAGATACATATCAAAGTGCAAATGAATAAAGTAGTCAAAGAAGACCTCTATGGAACATCTGGCAGGAAACTTGAAAAAGGAGACAGCTCAGTGATAAAGGAAACAGCTCAGTACTAATTACATCATGAGAGTTAATCATAGTATATTTACCTGGTGCACTGTGAATTTACATGGCAGGAACAGTGCTGTAGGCAGGGTTCTCTGGAGGACAAGACCAATGCATATGTACTTACTTCACCAGGGTTAACCCTCTAGAGCATGGAGCCTTACACTCTGTCTGAAGTGCATGCAAAAAGTCTCACCATCCTTGCTTCTAAGGAGCATTCTAGCTGTACTGTTTCAAAGACAGACTCTGGGTTTCTGGGCAGCAAATACTAAAGTGTTTTGCACCAACACTAACAAAGAATCAATTTTTCTGCAGTCTTCCTTTCCCACTGTCTAACATTCAAATGCAAATGAGACAACTGGGAGTGACTATAACTTAGGTCAAGTGCACATTAGTCCATAAAGTGACATCTTTGCTCTTAAACAGTTCAAAAGGTCCGTTACAACACATTTGTCCAATACGACAGTTGATTTCTTGACAGATTCTTCCACAGACAGCGACTGTAGATCCACATAAAATGAAATCCTTGATAACTTCAAACTTTAGTCCTTTTATCATGATGTTGCATACTGGTCTAACTGTGTGGACTTTTGTTTTCTTTATGTTTAAGTGTAACCAATTTACTAGCAGTGCCTCAAATCCACAAACTTGCAGCAAAGTTGTGCCACCTGCAAAACACAGGTTATTAAGCTTTCTCTCTCATTCTGGTACCTCATCCTTCTTCAGATCTTTGAATAATTTGTTCTACATACAGACTATGTACAAACAGCGAAAGAATAGTCCTGATGATGTACAGCATTTCTAATATTTAACCATGCAGTTACTCCTTGACCTGTCTGAATGATTCTTTCTTGATCTACATACAAGTTCCACATAAGCACAATTAAGTGTTCTGGAATTCCTATTCTTTTCAACGTTAGTTGTCAAGTGTTATGATTCAGAGAGTCTGGTGGCCTAGTGGTAAGAAACTACACTACAACTGAAGGCACATAGGTAAAATCTACCAGAAGGGAGAACATTATGCTGAGTGAAATATCCCAGTCACAAAAGGACAAATATTACATGATGCCACTGTTGTAGAATGGGACTGTCCTTGGGGTTG